TGAGACACACACACACACACGTGTCATTTTGCTAAGACTTAAAATTGTTATCCTATTGCTGTATTGTTTTCAAAGTTGTATATTTTCTGTCGCCTGCTGTTCCAGGCTTTAGTGGATGCCCCATGCCCTGAGCTAGCTTCTGCTCTGGGTTTGCAAGAGAAGAAGGCCAAGGACCTCCAGGAGACACTGCAGAGGGTTTTGGATCGGAGAGAGGAAGAGAGACAGTCCAAGGAGTTGCTTCAGCTCTACATCAACACTGTGAACAAAGAGAACAGACAACAGCAGAATCCAAGTCATCACAGTCAGGGAGGTATGACTCTGTCATTACGTGGTGGTTTTAACTTGTCCAGTTCGGAAATTCTTATCTTAAATGAAGATATGGGGCATTTCATTCTTGCCTTACACTCTAAAGAGGTTTCATAGCTTATACTGTGACTGGCACAATTTAAACTGTGATGTGTCTCCTCCCTGGCTGGAAAGACTTTTTAGCTTTTTTTGTGTTTCAGTTGTTTAAAGAAAGTCTACAGAAACTTTACAGAGTATCTTACAGCAATAATCTGTCACAGAGAGTTCTCCAAGAAAGTCAGCAGTCATTTTAGAGATATGGCCAACTTTGTATTATTGCCTCTGCAAAACTATTACTGCATCTTTTGAAGAGCCAATAGTCTGTTAAATACAAAGTCTCAAGTAGTCTCAAGTAGCCCTGTCAGAGCCTTTAAGAGCCTGTTGTTAATATAAAAATGCAGCGTAATATGTGGCATTGGTGTCTAGCTCTGCGTTTTGCTCTGATGGTCTGTTTCTGAGATCATCTTGTAGCTGTAATTGTGTTATTTAGTTGTTTGAGATTTAAATTAGTTTTTAATAATAAAATAATATTGGTTTATATATAAAGTGTTTGCGGTAAAAAAAATAATACATTTAAAATGTCAGAGGTACTCCTATATCTTCCTTCATTTTAAAATAAAATTTGAATGAATAGCTGCGATGAATAAACATGCATACATCATCCTGCAAACTAATCAGTGTTATCGTATGACTGTGTAGCCTTGCAGGAAGGTTAATACCTATAAACTGCTTGTTCTTTTAATGAGGGTCAGGGACATCGCAGACAAAGCCATAATCAGCATGCAGGGCTGGCCTGGCACAATATAGAAAAAAAAATTGAGGGATGTGCAGAGGCCAAAGCGTGTAGTCACAGTAACTAAAGTAATCAAGCAGGAAGAATTCTCCCAAAACTATAGATTTTTTTTAATTCAAAAATACATGTGGTGAAAACAGCTGTAAGTATTATTTCTTAAGTTTTTTTTGTTATTTAAATGCCAACACTGTGATAAATCAGTAATCAGTGTATTCGCTCTACTGCCTGTTTGTATGCACATGGCTCATAAGGAAAAAGCTGTACTTATGTTTTTTGGTCACTAGGTGGAACTATTGTCGCTGTATATTAATCCCATCTCTTGCAGTGATTTATTACAACTATACCCCTTTTATACTAAGAGACAACCTGTTTAAATTTGTCAGGGGCTGGCGACATAGATGTGCTGGAAGAAGTGGAGGTGGACTCTGCATGTGGATTCATGTCCAGAACACTGAGGGTCCTTAAAGGCAAAACAAGCCCTGAGACCAGGCTCTCCACTGAGGAGCTGCAGGTAGTCCAGTCACACCACTGATCCAGTCTACCTCAAAACATCTGCAGAAGAAAAGTCCTCCGATTTGACTTTTATATATGTACTGTATATAACTGCAAATGCCTAAAAATGATGATGCAGCTTGCATAAAACTGCAAGTCATAACACAACACATCCATCCAAAACTGAACATTAAAATCTTTGCAGATGATAGGAGTTCTCACAGGGCTCACTGACTCACATGTTGACATTGCTGGTGTTTGAACTGAAGCCTCTTCCGTGTGTCTTTAGATGATAGTGACCAAAGGGGTTGAAGCTATGGAAGAGGTGCTGGGCTGGGACAGAGTGAGGACCTCAGCGCTGCTGCAGGCCTGTGAAACTGAACTGACAAGACGCCTCCAGCAAGTTCAGGCTGTGCAGTCCATCAGGAGCAACACACGGCCAAGCAACCCCCGGCAGTCCAGTCAGAAGAGCACAGAGGAGGCCAAAGAATAGCAACTAGGCTTCACCTGAGCATAGACTGATAAGAATTCACACTACCTGCCTCAGGGTCAATAGAACAAGTCTGTGTTACTTATAATGTCCATAATGCTGTAATCCATGAATACTAATATATGTTGACATTTGCATTGTTTTGTAAAACTTGCAAACCACTGGAATGCTTTTGCCTCAAGACGAAGCAGAATGATTTGCACCAGTCGTCTTTATTAAGGCATGTTGACATTGGCATCACCTTTCTTTTGGCTCCTTATTTTGATCATTTCTGTGCTGTGAAAATAAACAGATATAAACAGCCATGTGAAAACTTAAAGTAACAGTTTAACATTTTGGGGAATGCACTTATTTGCTTTCTTGGTACGAGTTAGATGAAATGATTGTATTTTTTTTTTACACTTCTGTGTACAGTTAAACTAGATGTGACATGTTAACTAAGGACATTTAGAGCTTAGATCTTCTCATGTAACTATCAGAAAGAAAGGCAATAGGCTTGTTTCCCGAAATAAAGAACTATTTAGGTTTTGTATAAACTGTTACTGTTGAATCAGATTCCTAGTATCAAGATGTACATTCCTCGCCCTCTTAAACACGACCAATTAAGGCAGAGGGTTTGCACTGCATTTTATTTTAAAACTTTCAGTTAAAAACAGTTAAGGAATATACATTAAACTAGCAAGGGAACCTTTGTGGATCTCCAACATATGAGTGGCAAGAATAGGTGATTTTGTTTCTGTTAGAAATAATTTACATTTACTGCCACTAGTGGCATTTACACTGTGAGTGTAGGGGATCTAGTGGAGGGTATAGAGTAGCAGTGTGTTCTTCTTTCTGTCAACCAGGCCACCTTGTGCCTTATAACTTTCTCCTGTTTTTCTTCCTGACTGAATCCTGCAAAAGGAGACAAATGTTATGTTCTTGTCACAGTTCAACTGTTTTTGCTCCCCCATTGCATTTGTACAACAGTCTTTAATGCACCTTGGTATGAAATGCCATCATTATTTGTGACCATTAAAGGAATCTCTACGTCAAGAATGGATGTTAGAAATCTAAAATGATGAGCACAGGAACTCCCCACTGATGGCACAGTACAAAAATAACTTATTCAACACTGTGTTTGAATCCTATGACTTTGTATTTTGACTCTTCTTCTGCTCAAGACTTGCTCAAAAGCTGAGTATTTTTTACATTAGTTTTAGGCTTAAAGTTTGGAGCTGTTCTCTGAAAATGAAAGATACCACAAAACACTCAATAGTGAAGACTCTTCCATAGAAAATACTTGCATATAAGCCTGTCGGCTCCATGCTGCTGCTAGATATTTCCCAACAGTTGGTTAATGGGTTTCATGGTGTGCATAATTCCTGTGGCGCTGACTCCAACTAGGCTGAACAGTCAGAAGTAAGCGTGATGCTGGAGCAGTTGATTGTGCTTTCATGTGTCACACTGTCTCGGTGGATTAGATTATGAGTTAACAATGTTGAAGGTTTGCTTGGTAAACATCCATTTGCCCTGAGGACCAGCTGGATATTTCATGTTGGAAACAGACTTTGTCCTATGTGCTCAGATGACTTTCAGAGAGCAAATACCCACTGAGGAACATATGATTCTGTAGGGTTGCAAACGCCAAGCACTGTACTGTCTGTAGCAGCATAACAGTTGAGTCAAAGTGAACAGATTGAGGTTTAGAAAAATTATATGTTCACAGAAATAAATCAACACAAGTACATTTCATTTTCACATCCACATACTCAGGCATGGTCCTTTGCCCCACAGATGGAGTAAAGACTCAGATGAGAGGCAATTTCATGTGACTGAAGAAACCTCTAATGAATGCTTTGATAGAGGAGTAGGAGCTGCTGAGAGCAAGCTGCATAATGTATGAAGGTTAAACAACTAGCATTCACCCCTCTTAGACCAGTCCAGTCCAGAGATTTTAAACAAGATTAGCTTATTATTTCTGAAAGGGCATTTGTATTCAGCAAGTACAGAGCAGGTTAATTATTTGCAATCAGCTACAGGAATTTTTTTTTTTAATCAAAATACTTGTTAGATCACCTATAGCCACATATGTTATGGCCACAAAACATACAATCATACAAAACTGTTGTCTTATGAAGTCATGTTATTTGAGTCCACCATGAAAACAATAGTGATAAAACACCAAATACAAAGGTGATTGAAAAAGGATTGTGTTGGTGAGATTATAGCAGCATCTTTCCAATGAAAGAAATAAAACAATGACAATTAGATTAGGACTTAGCTAGTGTTCTGCTAGCCTCATGGATAAGCCCAATTCCCAAGATTCATCACCAAATTTATGATTGGTTTAAGATGCAACAATATAACGTCACCGTGTAAAGGCCAGTAAGACTTTAAGTTAAAATGAGGGATTCAACATTAGTACTGGTGTACTTGATTTTCCATCCCTTGTTTTTCCCACTAGTGTCAGATCTGAATTTAATGTGTACTTGGTAACTTCCTGTGTCGATGCGTGCTGGTGGTGTCGATCCGCAGAAGGGTCCATACTCCTGCCCAGATGTTGAAATCTTTCAAAAGAGAAACAACAAATAAGAAACAGGTGATTCATTAAATGCCTGACTAATTGATGTCCAGCCAAACATGGCCATATATCACCCAAGGAGGACAATTCAGCAATTGGCTGCCTCCACAAGCATGAGGAGGGATTCATTATTTATTCATCACTGTGTTTGTGTGTGTTAGGTTCTGAATTCACCTTCAACATATCATATGGACAGGGGGCATCTGGGTGTCTCTCTATATCAAAGGGTTCCAGGAAGTCCAGGATTATTCTGTAGCCCTCCGGCAAACGAATAGTGTGGTTACACTGACTCATGGGTGGGTAGGGGCTAGGGTAGTTTGGGCTGGTCAGAATCCCTGACAGCGAAGTCAACACCTCGCCATGGCATGGCACTGTAAGGAAGACTCGCACACTCATTAAAATGCTACTCAATATTTTAGACCTGGGGTTTTCAAAGTGTGGGGAGATGAGCCTTGCTTCAGAAGAGAGTGTGAAACCACCCACACCCCCGCCCCAAATACTCTAAAATAAAATGTGCCTTTACCATTACTGTTAGTGTACCCTAATGTATGTTCCACTCAGCCATAACAATGGCTTTCAACAATAAATGTAAACATCTTTGAAGCAAACACTTTTAGAACATGATTCTACTCTCAAGGACTGTTTCTCCACAGTGCAATCACAAAATGAAAAGAGACAACAATAGCTTATTAATATAGCTTCAATTCAACAAGACCATAAATTGTGTTACAGCAGCTGTCTAAAATAACACACATTCTATCTTTTGTAAGGGCACCCATTGCCATAATGCATTATGCAAAAACTGCTGAACAACTCTTATGATCTACCCGCAAATGCTTGAGTTATACAGTAGTGGCTATTGAAATGTTTTTTTTTTTTGATTTGAAGTAAATAATTGAAACATTTTTTAGCATCATAAATGATGGCATTCATTTAGGTTTGCGTTATTGCCCCAGCAAGTGTGCAGATGTTATTATAGACAAAACAAATGAGTATTGCAAAGAGGCTGAGTTGCTGTAATTCATATAATTAGTACAGTCTGTAGGCAGATAATCATTTTTGCCAATTTGTTGCATGATTTGTTTTGTCATCCATTTTCCTCTGGCAGAGAATAATAATTTAAGGCACATCAACTGGTAATTGTGATTAATTATCTAGTGTCAGTACACTATTAGTGCTGCACACAGGTATCAATTTTTAATGCCATTTTGAAGTTGATTTTCCCTTAGGAATCGACAGTAATTAACCCTGCCTTACACCAGCTGGCAGAGATCAACAACTGTATGCATCAGTATGCATTTTCAGTCTGAAAATAGTTAGCACAGGCCAACTATGATAAAGTTCAATCTAATCTAGAACTCGATCAACTGTGTGCTTTGTGTTAAATGTCAGAAAAATTGTTTTTTTTTTGAAGGTTTGTTTTGCTGTACTGTAAAATACTGAGTATTTTTGAAAGACAAATGACTTTTTTCTAAAAAAAAAAGTCAGGTGTAGCAACAAGCTTACCAATTAACAATCTGTTACAGTTTTCATTCAGCCTTCATGCCAAATATAAAACCAGTAACATTTTATATTTTAATTGTCCTTATAAACACCCCAATACCACATCAGCTGTGCCAAATGAAAGGTTTGGCTATAATTATGGTTATACAGTATCATAAACAGCTGCTGTGGAGAGGAATTAAAATATGCTGTACACAAGTGCCTCATAAAGAAGTCAGCACACACTAATGTTAATTTTGTTGCTTTTTTTTTGCCATCGATATCTGCTGGCTCTGATAGTGAGGACACGAGGAGCTGAGCAGCAGTGTATTCAGAAGGGTCTAGTCTAGGTTAAGGCGAGTGGTGGTCGAGGCATTTTTGAGCCCCAGCGCAGTAAATGTTGAAAATGTTGAGCAGTGAATCGGAAGATGATCAAAGAGAATGGATGGAAGTATGATTGAATATGTCCAGGAAGAAGTATCTGATATAACAATGAACCAGAAACACAGAAGGATTTTTTTTAAAGGCAAAGAAAGAAAAGAGTTGGATGTAATAAATGACTTGGGAGAACATTCAAGTGACAAACTACATCCAGTGACACTCACAGAAGCTGGTCCTATTAAACAGCAAAGGAAGGTTGTGGTTACATCCCACTAATGTCATCCAGCAAGGTAAAATACTGCAGATGACAAACCTGAATGGATGAGCGCAAGGAGCAATTGGTGGAATTCTTTGTAGATGAGTCTGACCTCAGAAGTGAAGTCAAAGGAAGGTAACTGCATGCAAAGTGCATTCCAACCAGGAATCAAACTAAAATAGTTGATAGTTTATTTGTTTATTTCTTCAGTTAGAAGAAAATCTGTTGCCATTCAGGTGTTTTTATACCACAGCGTAGAGCATGTGTCGAGACCAGAACCAAGATGTATGTGTGCTGGAGAACATGAGTATGGAGGATGTATGGAAAGAAAATGCTGTAACTGTGGCATAATTATGTCAGAAAAGACCCTACCAGTCTGAATAATTATAAGCCTTTTGCTCTGACATTACATATATACAAGACCATGGAGAGGATGGTTACAAAAAGATCAACATAATGCACAGAAAAAAATCAGATAATTTTGTATTAAAACATATAGTATCTTCTCCCAGATTCAAGATACAAGACATCTATAGATCTGGTAACATAACAGCTGAAATTCTCCATTAAAACAAGAACAGAGGCTTTAGAACCACAATACAGAGACAACCACAATACAGGGACCAATGTTAAGTTAAGCTATACCTCACAATGTAGCTTACAGTAAGTGAACATACCTTGTGAGCTCTAGTATGCATGGGTCTTACCTGTGCAGGATCTTTTGTTGTCATGGAGAAGATATCCTGGTCGGCACGTGCAGTAATATCCACCGATGTAATTGTGGCAAAAGTGATCACACACTCTCTCCCCATCTATCTTGAGCAGACATTCATTGATATCTGTGAAAAACAGAAATGTTAGAGAGAGAAACACTGCACAATAAGTATGTATTTTTCCATCCATGAACATAGCTTAAATGAGGAGAGTGGTGTTATCTTTGTATGAATGTCTTGTAAATCCTAAATGTGAAAATGTTCAGTTAGACAATGTATGATTAGTTGAATTTGTGGGGGTCTGTAAATCACCACAGCTTCACCACAGCTTAATTAAGCAGACAGTGAATTAATCTGGTTTGTCTTAACTCTGGTTTATGCAAAAAAAAAAAAAAGTGCTGTCACTTGGTTGAAACAACCAGGCGTTTTAAACTAAGATTCTGCAGTAGGCTCCAAGCTGTGCTCATTGCATCCAATTAAAACAAAAGTTTAAATTGAAAAAGTACTAGCTGCATGAAAACAAAACTTGCAGACAGGCTTACAGGGTCATCAGCAGCAATTTCCTTAAGGTAAACTGAAAGACACAGTAAACTTGTCGTTCAAACGTAAGGACGCAAGCAAAATTAAAAATGGGAACATGGATTTGCCAAACTGCTTTAAAATGGCCAGGCTATGTTTAAATGAACCGTATTATCATGTTTGGATAAGCTGAAAGTTATATGTATGCAAATTAGGGGTGTTATTCTTCTAACAACTTTTGTTACATTTCTTTTCTGTGTGCTACTGTTTTGTAATTATTCTATTGTATATGCAGTCTCTCTTCTTTCTTTCTGGATCGGAATGAATATTTGAAAACACTGCTGTATATACGTGTGCTGATATCCTGCTATTAGTTCTCTAGAAAGTCCATTACTCTTGGTGTAATTAAAGCCCCTCAAAATGTTTCTGCCTTCTGGCAACACAGGTCACATGTCTCTACATCACCTTCCGAGGTGTAAAACGCTTGGAAGCCGGTGAATCGACCCTCATTAGAGTAGTCACTCCTAAAGACCACTGACATGAGGTTTCCGGCTGACACGATGACGGTGTTCCTCGGGGTGCTCTCATGGTTCTTCTCTTCTTCACCACAAAATCGCAAGGTTTCATTCCCCTCTGCCAAAACCTGGTTTGACAAGGTTAGAGGCCTTTTGGTGAGCAAACTAGACTCCACTGGCCATATAGCTCTGTCATTTCCACACTCAGCGAGACATACAGGAGGGAAAAGAAAACAAACACACAGCGCCCACTGGGCAAACATAGGTGTGATGAAAACAGTTTCAAGGATTATTTTGCACAAAGAAATGCTAACTGACACTCACCTGGCCATGTTGGTGTCACAGTCCTCAGATATTTTATGTGTTTTGGGAGAATTCACTCTTGCTGAGCTGAGGGTAAATGAACCTGGCTATCTGGGACAGCCAGCATTTGGGTAAACAAAGTGACACAGGCACGTGGTCAGTTTGTCATCATTCTCCACCTCGCACAGTCATAGACATACAGTGCCTTGCGAAAGTATTCGGCCCCCTTGAACTTTGCGACCTTTTGCCACATTTCAGGCTTCAAACATAAAGATATAAAACTGTAATTTTTTGTGAAGAATCAACAACAAGTGGGACACAATCATGAAGTGGAACGAAATTTATTGGATATTTCAAACGTTTTTAACAAATAAAAAAACTGAAAAATTGGGCGTGCAAAATTATTCAAATCCACATAAGGGATGACGGCAACATTCATAGATCCTGGAATGCACAATGAGGGGCAATGTTCATTCCTATTACAGAGGCCCACTGAAATTTTTTTGAGGAAAAGCTGTGTTAGACTGCATATTGTTTATAGTAAAGTATTTTTATATACAAATATAAAAATGAAAATGTTTCTGGAGTGGGACTTTAATTAATTATAGAAGTTGTGCAGAAGCTGCCCATAGCTCTACACAGTGATCCATGTGTGTACTGTATGTGTTTCTATGCTGCTCCAAATGAGTCTGTTCTGGTTCAACTTGTCTTATTAAATGAGCTTAAAAATAAAGTGACACCTTAGTTATAAAACACTGAGCAGGCTGTAACACACAAGAGTGTGT